TTCTTTGATGCTGAATTTACCAGCTTTCAGCCACTGGCAACTGTCATCAAATGTCTGCCAACAAGGTAAAAATAATTCAGCCCTCCACCTTTTCAGATACTGCCCAAGTATAAATACTTATAGGAAGAGATACTATTCCGTGGCTACTTCTTTGAAAGAACAGATTCCAGGGCATTCCCAAGTGCTGGAATACCTCGCATCCAGCTCAACTCCCTGGCATTGGGTCTGCTGACAAGCTCCCAGTGTGGGAGGTGAGTGACCTCAGCACCTTCTGTAAGACAAGAGCACAGACACTGCCTCTTGGGCTTACCTCCCGAGGTCTGATCAGCAACCACCCACACCAATTTTGTGGCCCTCCTTTGAAATCTCTAGTATTCCTGTACCTTTCACGAGGAGCGACCACGAGCCAGAACGCCACATCCTAACTCCGGTTTTCTCAAGTACACACAGAGCCAGGAGCATCCCTAGTTCCACTGCATATTCTCATTTTTATGTTTTCAAGGATCCACCCAGCTTCTCTTTTTGTGGGTTTTTTTTTGCAACACCACTGGCCTGACAGTTTGCATTATGTCTATTAAATCAAAGCCTCCTAAAACCCTTCTTCGAATCGCTGTTTTCCGAGGCAATGTTCCATTCCCAATTACATTACACTGTACTTGGCTGTATTAAAATAAACTCTGTTTGAGTGGGATAGCAGCTCCTCACCGATTGGTATTGGTCTTGTGCACTCCTCCCTATTTAATTATATTTTACTATTTTGTATTCTGCGAATTTCCCCAGTAACAATTACTGTGCTGAGTCTATGGAAGGGATATATAGCCTTTGTTTGCCAAATCTGCCCTTTATTTGTCATTACTAAACTTCTAGACCTAGAGTTTCTCATATTTCTGATATTCTGATATTTGAGACAACTTATCATCTTCATTTCTATTCGCTATGGTTATTATATTAGTTCCCTTGATTTCCCTTATCAGCTGTATATAGCTTTTACTCCCCAATATTTTTCACTTGTTTTCATCTACCCCATCATTTATGCATGTTGCATTCTTAGCAGTATTTGCACGTTGAATGTTCAACACTCACACGCAGATTTTCTACGCTGTCATCTTCTGGACTAACGGCGCATTCTAACAGCAAGAAGAAAATAAATGAACCAGACTCTACAATAAAATATATCGCACAGTGACGCAGTCCCATTTTACAAAAAGAACAGAGAAATCCAAAGAGAGGCAAAGTGTCTTACTGAAGAAATCTTAAAGCTGCCAAACTGGCAAGCTGGATTCTACCTTCAGTTTGTACCAGAAGTCTGAGGGCTTGATTAATGAGGAATACAGCATCAAAGGTTAACTGAAATATTAACACCACTCCTTAGAAAAAATGAGCCTAGAACCCAGTCTCCTGGCAGAAAATGGACTCTTTTCAAAAGAATAGCCCTAAATAATCTATACAGATCTGCTGCTAGCTCTTCCTGTAAGATAGCTGTTATTAAACAGTGTTTGTAACCCAAATGCTACAGAACTGAGAGACTCAAATTGTTAAGAAAAATTAACTGAGCATAACTGGTTTTCAAGGGCTCAAACTTGGAAAACTGCAAAAGCTCTCTGCTGCATAAACAGAAATTTTTATTTTTGTATTTATTCATTTTTAATTCCGTCACACTCCTACTGAAAATTACCTGGAAACTAAAGATACTATCTGCGGAAAAAGAAAACAAAAGCTAGAATAATAAAACATGGTCCATGTGGTTAAAATATAATTAAAAGCTTAGGCAATAACCAGCTATCTAATTGTGGTGATTCTCAGTATTTTTTCTCTCAGGAACTATTTTCTGATTAGTAGCTATTGTGAATGCTGGCACAGAAACAGAAAACAGATTTAGCAATTAAAACACTTAAAAACAAAGCAAAAAAAAAAAAAAAAAAAGGGCACAAAATCAAAGATGAACACAGGAGTTTCCTGAAGACATCTTACTCAGCCAAACCGCTCCTGAAGCGCGGTTCACACAGCATGTTTGACACTGCCCAGCTCCATCCACCAAAACCATCAACCCGCTACGCCTCTGGACAGAATAATTCACAATATACCTATTGTGAATGCTGGCACAGAAAAAGAAAACAAATTTAGCAATTAAAACACTTAAAAACAAAGCAAAAAAAAAAAAAAAAAAAGGGCCACAAACTCAAAGATGAACACAGGAGTTTCCTGAAGACATCTTACTCAGCCAAACCGCTCCTGAAGCGCGGTTCACACAGCATGTTTGACACTGCCCAGCTCCATCCACCAAAACCATCAACCCGCTACGCCTCTGGACAGAATAATTCACAATATACCTCTTACCTGTTTTGTCTATGTCACTGAATGCAGACTGGTAACTAACTTTTATGTTTCAATTTAGTTTATTTTTCTTTACAACGAAACGCCCCTATCTGGATTTTCCCAGCTATGGATTAGATTTGAGTCTTACGCCTGAGCCCCATGCTGCGGTGATACCTCAGGCAGGAGGCTGGATGAAGGTTTATGCACCGTTTTAAGGCCTTGCCCCGGGGATAACACAAAGATAACAGAATCTGAAAATTCATCTTAAAGAAGAAAACAGGTCTCTAGGCTTCTAGCCATCATGGATATTTAATTAAATAATTAAATGCAGGTTATGTGTTTTTTGAAAGCATCAAAACTATAGAAACAAACCCCTTCAGTAGTGAGGAACGGAAGATACTCAAATCTTTCCAGTTTTTGCCTACACAGAACTACCTACCATTTATCATTTAGATAAGAAAAAGTGTCCGTTTAAGGCCCTGTAATTATATCGCTATAATTCCATCCGTTATCTCCAGGGTATCAGAAATACCATTCTATAGAAACACCACAGGAGAAGAGAAGTTCCCAGGTGGGGTTATATCCATATTTCTATTCCTATATTGATGAGAACTGAATTGGCTGTTTATGTTGAAACCTTTCTTCCCGGGGCTTCGACACAAGCACAGATTTGTTCTGTTGCTGCCGTCCCACAGGAGTTCGATAGCTGATACTACTGTTGTTTCTCCCTCATACAAAACATTTGTCTTCTCGGGAAGAAATTCAGCTTGACTGAAGACGAGGACTGGCAGTAGAAGCAAAGGCTCTGATTAACTAACACAGGAATGACGACAAGCCATGCCACCAGCCCGAAGGCAGCCTTCACGAGGGGTCCCAGCTCCCACCGTACCACAGCAGGGCACGGCTATAGCGTATGGCTGGGTCAAAGCGATGGAGCAGGAACAAGAAGATCCCACATGGGGATGAACTTGCATTCTCATTCTTAGAAGCCCATTTTAATAGTCTTTAAGCAATATTTTATTGGTAACTTTTACGTCATGCAAAACTCCTGTTAATCGGTTCCAGTCTGAATTTCCTGCAGGAATCTTGAACCTTTACAATCCTTACCCCACCTGGGGTGAATTACTAATGCTCAGCTTCTTGATGGTACCCGCTCAGGCTCTTATCTCACATAACATTCAGCTTTTCTGTTCTCCGGAGGGCAAGTTAACGTAGTCCAATGCCGCAATAACTTCACAGCTTTCTACAGCTGTGTGGACAGTGACAATTCAGAAGAACCCATACATACCACTGGTCCCCACTGAACTCAACACAGGCGGAAACCCAAAGAGTTCCTGCTAAAGGGGTTTTGTAGTACGCTTAGTGGGACAGGGAAGCAAGCTCCTAAAGCAAACCCAGACCTTTGTTCTGTTCAGAAGAGAGTACAAAGTCTCAGAAGAGACAGACTATATCTGGAAATACTCGTCTTTGTCAGCATGACAAGGCAAAACAGCCGTGCAAGATTAATAGCTGCTTGCTTGCGACGCAAACCACCAATATAGCTAAGGAAAAAAAATGCCTTTTTTCCCCAGGAATGGAGAGAAACCCTTAAAAGTCATCAGAAACTGTGACCAGCATAATATTAGAAAATTATTTTCATATAATTCAGGTTTTTATATAATTCTGTTCTGTATTTTAAAGAATAAACAGCTCTCTTGCAGGAAGCTCAGGAATACATATCAGGTTCTTTCTTGGGTTAATGAGAGAGACCGCTTGCACGCTTACAGTCACTTTCGTTTGACCTGATGTATTTTAGCTATAATTGTATCAAACACACGCTTTGGAAGTTAACCAAGCTGAAAGACTGAAATATCAAATGGAAGGTTCTCTTTCTGCTTAAGAAACTAACACAGTACCATCTTTCAAAAATGCATACTTTGCTCAACCAATAGTAGTTAAACGAAATATAAATTTTTGAGCTGTCTCCCTTTTATCTTTAAACAGCACGGAGATGGTAACAGAAGCATACATGTTTCCTCTCCAAGTCTTCACTGATGAATAAACCAGGAAATCTCTCTACCCTCTTCCAACTGAATATACAGTTTATTAAACCATTTAATTACCAGCTTAGTAAAATGATCATGATAAAGGCAAACACGGAGTCGGCACTCCCCCGCGCTGTCCCTGAAAAGGGTTATTTTGTCAACTTTTGTACTCCTAGTATCTGCTCCAATCTCTGATAACACCAACTCTTTAATGCAAGCCATAAAGAACACATGTATAGCCTGGACATACACGACCGGGTTAGCCATTGCATTCCAGGGCTGAAGGAGCAGGGAATGCTGCAAAAAAACCCCCCAATTTATTTGGGCAAGTGACAAAAGCTGAGGTCTGGGTACATACAAAAGTGCCTGTATTTTATTTATGCAGAGCATGTGTAAGTTAAAAAAAGCAAGAATTGTCACAGGCCAAGATGATTTTGCTCAGGAAAAGGGAGATATATTTTAGTCTACCACTGTTTTTTTCTCATTTGTTTTATTTTTGAGTTTCTGAATTATCAGCATGAAATAGGCAGACTTTTCATATTGGTATACTGGTAAACTCAAATTTAAAACGTAGATACGTAAAAGGAACCCATTTAAAAATAGTCATCACATATTTCCAAGCAGTCAAACATAGGGGTATCCTTTTAGAAGGAAACGTACCTGCTTCAGGACTTGTTTGATTACAGCTGCTAACAATGCTGTTTGGTATCACTGGAGTGGAGGATGCCTGGATTCTCGACTGAGGTGGGTTCGGATGTAAGGAATTTCCTAAAGCCATTCCTGACTGACTGAGCATCCCACAGTTCCCGCTAGCCTGCATCTGATTTATTAAACCTGCAAGATGGTTGGTTGTGCCCGGGCTAGTACCGTGGACAAAGTTAGTGTTTGTGTTCTGGCAGTGCACACCGTCCCCTCGCAAGGGTAAACTCTGTGCCAGCGAGTTCTGGAGACTGCCAGAGTTCATACTGGTGTCTGCAAAATGCATCTGGTTACCAGAGCAAGGTAAAGCAGTATTTGAGCTCCCACAGCTGGTGGTACTATTGCTGCTCATGTGAGAGCTCTGACAACTCATGGACTGAAGTAGCTGGGACATAGAACTGATGGGAAAGGAGCTCTGACTTTGCTTTCTTATCAAATCAGATCCAGCTTTGGAAACTCCAGAACTGTCCAACTGAGACTGTCTCAGCAAACTCAACACCGTGGTGGTCGGCTGCTTTCTTTTTCTCAGAGGGTCTTTTTGCTGAGACATCAATTTATCTCTCAGTGCTGCTCGGCCACTTTGCCCTTCAGTCGTCGGTAGAAGCACATTGGCAGCAGGAGGGAACATGGTATTTAAAGTGCTATGTCCTTCATTGTTGCCACCGCTGGCAACAGGTCCAGAATTGCTACTGCTGTTATTGTTGTTACCAGCAAGTTTATTTTGATTTGCTAGCTGTGCTTTGGCTGCTGCTGAGAGTAAACTACTTGCTGGAAAAGAGGCAGCATTGTGCTGGTTCAAGATCTGATTTAAAGGCATTCCCAGCAAACCAGGCTGACTCTTCAAGGAACCACTTCCAGCCGATGCAGTAGAAAAAACTGCATTGTTTGGAGGATTTAATACATTACTCATTCCAGCAATTAATGGGTTAGGGATGTCCTTGTATTGATTAAGTCCATCATGCTTGGTGGAAGGGCTAGATGGCATAGATGGTCTCGGTGACCCTATTGTTGACCTTGGGGACCTGGGAGGAACTTTAATACCACTACAGGATGACTGTGGTCCTACTGGAGGCAGCAGGAAATTTCCATGATCTGATGACGTGGAAGAAGAACGTGATCTTTGGGGAGAAGCCTCAATCCTTCCAATCCCGGATCCCATCATATGAACTGGGGATGTCACCGGTGAAGGAGAGAGGGAAGTTGAAGCAGAATGCTGAACTCTTTGAACATGACTTCCATGGTTCATGTGACCAGGTTTTACGGTTGGCAAAGGAAGATTACTTGGCAAAGGGACGACAGCAGGAGGCATGCTTACATTCATCACGGGTACCTGAGAGTGGACATTTGAATGGTAAGTAGTTGGGTTAATGATAACAGGATTCTGATTCACTGGTTTGCTAGGAATAGGGTCAAGTATGCCAAGTGGATCCTTTTCTGATGTTAATGGCTTTTTCTGAAGAGCACAAGAAGGCGGTGGAGGAGGTGGGGGTGGACCTTGGGGCGGTTTATGGTGAAACATCGCTCGTGGTATTTCCATACCAGTTGAAAAATTACACATGGGTTTTTTCATTACTGGGCTTTTTGTGGTCAAGGTTGGGGAAAGAGGTATATTAGTCCTTCCAGCCATTGCACAGGATGACTGTATGGGAGAACCATGTAGCATTACTGATGGTGGAGACAGAGGTGTCCTGTTCATGTGAATAGGACTAGAGTTGGGTGCTCCATGAAAACTGGGATTGTTCCTTGTGAAAACATCAGGGCTTCCAAGTGGGTCAGTCCTAGGAGAGATTGAGCCATCTCCATATATCTGTGATCCTGATGAAGCTGGACTGGGCATCCCACCATGACTGCCACGATACGGAGACTTCTGTCCAAGTTCATTACTACCCAATCTCTGCCTAGGATAGACAGAATGAAGTTCTTGTTGCTGGCTTCCAGCCATTTCTTGCACATAAAGCCTACCCATGGCATTAGATGCCCCTATCATCAACTTGAAAGGAGTCTTACATTCTGGCATCACAGAATTTGTAATTCCTTCATGTGATTTATTCCTCATTGATCTTGGAGTTGCTGCTCGAGTAGGAACTACTGGAGTTGCACCTGATATTAAAAACACAACAGTTACTGTTTTGAAATCCAATATCACACATTTCAGTGCAAAACTACTGTGTGTGAAAATATTGATAAAAACTAGAAAGCCTTTTGGCTAAACTTTTGCCTCAACAGAAATAATACCTGAATGGCCAAGTAGTTGCCGGAACGGTGCATGCTAGCCTATGCATAGTGCAGTTGTATAGACCTTAACTCCATATCCCATATAAGGACTGCAAAGATACGGACAACTTTAAATCTTTTTCCTTCCCTTTTGTCTTTTCTTTCGAACCATCATCTCCAGTGCCCCACTCCTGAATCTCCAGCATCACCACTTTGGCTACCGCTAGCAGAGCTGGCAGGAGGAGCAGACTATCACTGTCAGAGGGAAAAGGAGCCTCTGGCACCATCTATTGAGTACAGGAGGAACAAAGCCCAACAAGGCTTCAGACTAATTTCTCTGCGCCCTACAGAGAAAAGGGTCCTGCCCCAAATGCTGTGGCCGATGAGGATGAATGGGGAGCTGTGCCATATGACTTTGGCTCAGATTTCTATTCAGCCAAGCACTTAATTGCAGAGACCTAGGAGACCATGGCTGTGCGAGGCAGGACGCAGCTTCTCCGGCTGCTCCGCAGCACTCGCTGGCACCAAGGGCACTGAGTTCCAGTCCTCTGAGTTAATCTGTTCCTGGGAACTGCTTTGCTAAAAAGGTGAGGACAAACATTATATCATGTCCTGTATCACTTTACTGAATTAAGGCTTTTCCTGCAGCTTCTCCAACAAGCTTTGCTTGGCGTGAAGATGCTAAATTTAAGTGTCTCTACCTTACATGTTGGCTTCAGGATAAAGGCCCTGGGGCTATTTGCACATGCACACATATGAACCCCTCTACAATGGAAAAATTTCCTGTAAATTCCAGGACTGAGACTAGACTGTCCTACAAGTGCAAGACCACTTTCCTTTTCTGCCTACTAATATAATTTTATTTAAAAAAAATATTTTTTTCAATGTTTTACTTGAAGAATACCATCACAAGCAGCTCCAAGTCTGGCGGACTTTCTGCCAGTTCTGCTGCTCTGGGAATTTGTAATTCAGCTTACAGTGCGAGCTCAGTAAAAGAAAATGAATGCACTCTTGGCATGCAGCCTCTGAATATGCAAACTTAAACTTGAGTAATGAGCTAAAGATTTCATGTTCAAATGAATTCAGAGGTGCCTTTAAATTCCTCTACTCACAAGAACCCAATTCCCGTCTTTCCTTCAGCCTGGCCATAGGAGACAGATGGCACCGAGAATCCTGCCTTCATCCTATTTGCTCAACCGGCTACACCATGACAGAAACAAATATATTATCTCGCCCAAAATACAACCGGAGTCTCATTTAGGGGACAAATCTCAAGACTGAACTGCAAAACGAAATATGTACAAGAACCCTCACCTTGAACGCTGGACCTAAGCAAATGGTCAAATGTAAGTGTGAGTAAATGAAAAGGCAATTTATTGGGAAATTTTCTCCTTTGCTTAGCGCACAAAATTCTGATCAACAGAGAAGGTAAGGCCACACAAATGGGACTTGTGTCTTTAATATTTAGCTGGTTTTACCTCCTTCATTTTACTAATTCTTTGAAAACAGAAATATAATTTAAGTTCTACTAATAAAGAATACAAAAAATTAATAAGGAAAATGCATAGTAATTTGGGAAATTGCATTGTTTGTTTTAAAAAAAATTTACATTGCAAAAAACAATTTAAACAGAGCTTTAAAATCATAAATAGCAATTTGAAAATGCAAGAGCACATCAGTACTATGAACAGCACTGGTATCTTAGCACTGTCTACGTATCTGAAATTTATCATTTATTTTTATACTTTTAAAATTTTCCACTTTGAGGTGAAGATACAGAGCGGTTAGCAATTAGCCAGCTATTATTACAGCAATATAGGGATGCAAAAGATCTCTCAGATTATCCAGGGCCATTTTCAGAAGCTGCATGCATTATAGTATATAACCATAAACTTACCCAGCTCTGTCTTAAAAGTAACCTTCACTCCTTTGTCCTAATCATATGAATTTGTAAGACTACTTCAGAACCTTTTCTTGTAATCCTTAGAAAGTGCCTAATTTTCAGTTTAAGTTTCTATGCAACGCTGTTTTTGTAGCTGTTTCTTTCAGTACTAACTTCGTCCTTTAGCTTAAATAGCTTTATTTTCTGGTGCCGATTCTCCTGATGTCTTTATTGACAGCAATTGTATCTCCCTTCAGCTACCATTTTGCCAGGTTGAACAAGCTAAACGTTTTTAGATGACTTTCATAAAACAGGTTTTGCAGTTCACGACGAGAAGATCCTCTGCTCTATTTCAGCTTCAGTGCCGCTAGCGAGAACGGGGCGCAGGAAGGCAGTAAGCATACAACGGCATTTGTACTTCTCTCTCTCAGAGCCACATTGATCTGCACCATACTGCCATCTGGTACTGCTCACAGGCATCTTTGATCAGCTACTATATCTAGGGCTTCTTTCTCAATAATTTACAGCTAATAGCTTTTTTCACTAGTCCCCAGGTGAATAACCTTACAATTAACAGGATTTGTTGCTACACCTTTTCTTTCACTCCAGGTCTCAATGATCCCCCAGTTTTTCAACATGTTTTGATCTTCTCTTGTTTTGATAATGCCTGTCCAACTTCATCCATCAACAAATTACCTCATTTTTTGTTGATACGGATAATTAAAATGCTAATCCAGGTTGGTCCCCAAAAATAATCCTTGAGAAATTACAGTGGAGATCTCTTGCTATATATTCTGCCTTGCAATACAATTTCCCATTTAGCCAAGTCCTTAGCCACATTCTAATCCCTTTATAATCACTTTATTCTGCTTCTCTAATTTCCCATGTGACAGAATATCAGACATATTACTACAGTTCCAAAAGATGAGAGCTAATGTATTTTCTTTGTCTAGAACAATCTGATATATTTTCCAAGAAAATCATGCTCTTAGTCTGGGATGACCTGCTTTTTGTACTCAGTTTCTATCTACCTACATCTCTCTAATTACTACCTCCAATTTCTCCTTTAATCTGTTTACTGTTGCACTCATAGATATGTAAGACTTCTGGGGGTGTTTTTGTATAGTAATTATATATATTTAAAATCAGTTAATTAAATGATTCTGCATGATTTTACTCACTTGTTCCACCACCAGGACTAGTTAGAACTAGTGAAGGATGTGGTGCTTCCATGCTTTTATGAAGTGTAGCCACAGCAATAATTTTCCTTTTGTGTATGCATAGTTTGGTGACATCTTCGTCCGCTTTAACATCTTCAGCAGTTCTCTGCTTCACAGCAGCTCCAGGATCAAAATTAAAGACCTGAGAGTACAAATTCCAACATTTAAAATAATGATTATAGGCAGCAAACTCACCAAATATACCTAAACCAGAAATTTTAGATAAAATTACATCTGCTTCTGTTCTTTAGAGCTATCTGGCTGCTCCTACATTGCCCAAGAGATAACCTTTACAGTACATTTTGAAATTATAAATAGTGAATATATTTATAATAAGTAAACGGCCATGGAAGTTGTCATCTAGCAAGAGAACTTTAACACTCCTCAGTCTAAAGGCTAAGGAAAAAAAAAGGAAAAAGGACCACTTGTGTTTGAGATTGCTCTGTGATTAAGAAGAAAAGTTTACAATTTGCGTATAGACGATAACATTGTGAAGCTGATACTGAAGCTATCGTGTAAGTCACTGTCTCACTCTGATTCTCACATCGTAACACGATGCTGTCAATGGTAGGTTTCCAACTTAATAGGAAAAAGTTAAAATGCCATAAAACCTGAGTCAGATCTTTTCCATGAGGGGAGAAGGCAGAAGGGAGATTAATTTTGTATTTTATGGTAAATCTTTGGATGTATACAACTTATTTTATATACATGATCTGAACAGAGATTAAGTCATGGCATAGCACATCAGCTGACATAACTGATAAGGATTATAGCACAGAGATCCAAAACAATGCTTTTCTTTACCTTGGGAAGAACAAGAGGACATTCTAGGCCACACTTGCACGTTCCATCAGTCAGCAAGTAAGTCTTCACCTGCTCCAAGCAGGATAATAAAGACCCACTGGGACTGTAAAGGAACAGAAATGATGAATACAAGCTATTTGATAGGTCATGACTTCTATCCACCATTCTAACAGCTCACATGGAGAGTGTTTAAAATAAGACAGCTAAGATTTCATATTTTGTTTCACAGTACTTCTTGCTTTTAGTCAAGAACTGAGATGATACTTATCAAAAACAGCCCCCCAAAAAAACATTTTAAAGGAAGATTTTACTACAGAAAAACAAACACAGCAAGTGCCGAGAAAAGAAAGTAACAGATTACTGATATTTACTATCCACATTACAATCCTGCTTGAAAGCCTTAAGATTATTTTTCTCCCTCCTCTCTCCTATAAAGTGTAACACACAGGCAGACAGCAGGCCCCATGGACCTCCTCCCGCTCCATCACATCCCTGCAGTTCCATGCAGGCATGACAGTCATCTGTACGCTTCCTAATTTAAAAAGGAAAAACACAAAAGTGTGTTTCAAGAAGTATGAGAAAACCCATACAGAAAAGGGGGAACAGTAACAGAACTGTTGCGGCTGGGTCTCTTAGTTGCATCAACAGTTTGGTTTCATTCAGCTAAAATTGCAACCCTCTCACTGAAAGTGAGAAATATTACACCAAGAAGGCAGTCCAGTGAGTTTCTGATAAACTGCACTCAGATTTCTCTAACTCCCACCAGAAAATCATTATCTCCAGATCCCAAAATAGCACATTGGAAATTCTGTTACGGCAAAATTGCTAATTCATAAGATGAAAAAAGTTCTCATGTCACAAGCCTCTAACTTCCAGATTGCTCTTTATTACTTAACCATCTAAACTGTTTATCAGGGAAAGAATACAATAATTTATGAGGACTGGCTAAAACACTGGCTCTTAATGGCAGCTGTAAATAGTCCTTATTTTAACAAAAACAACTTAAGTGGAATAGTTTGGATCATGAAAACGGCCGAGAGTCAAAATTCCGAACTATGACAAACTTTCGTACTTAAACCCCAATGTATAAACACTGAATCCTGCACAAGAACTAAGTCACATATAGAGCAACATCTGCAAGTGACATTTAAAGTTACGCTGCCAGTTTAAATAAGTAATTTATTTGCCAGACTTGCTCCGAAATAATTCTTTTAGAGAGAACTGCCCAGGTCAAATATGTGTAAACGTGACAGTTCTCAGGGTAAGCAAGTTAAAAGAGCAATCTGAAAATAACGGTACGGGTATGAAGTGATAGATAGGTCAGAAAGCCAAACCTTCCTCGTCTTAAACTGAAATACTTGGGGAGCAGGAGGAAATGACTCTTTATTCATTTACTTATTAAAATTTCAGCTATAGACTGGTTAAACCACCATCATCACATTTTAACTTAGTGAGCATCACTTGTTCTCTACTTTGGCTCCGCATCTCCAGCGCTGGCCGATCGCTTTGGACTTTCCCAACCTGTCCTGAGAGCACACAGGAGCCGCTGCTCACCCCAGGCAAGGTCCACGCTTGAAGATGTAACAGCTTCCCACAGCAGAAACTCAGATTGGCGTTTGCTCTACACTATCCCATCTACATGCAAAATCTCTACAGATGCTTTCCGTGACACTTAAAAAGCTCGCGTTAAATGGCATCCCAGGAATATGCTCTGGAGTCAGGATGCCATTTTATTTGCATTGGTAAAAAACACCTACTGGGCAGCAAGAGTAAAGCTATACCATCCGAGTTCGTTTTTTTCCTATTTCTAGAATAAAACAGTTTCAAATAGCCTTTCTTGGCGTGCAGTTTGCCTGGGAAATCTGGGCACACATATCCAGTTCAGGCACCAGGAGATACTGGAGCCTGGAAACAACAGAGGTTTAAGGCACATACGTAGTGCACCGACGATCAGTGGTGTAAAGGCAGGTCTGGGTACTCACGCTTACTGGGAGTGCACAGATCAGTCCACTGAATCAGGGATTCAGCATCCCTACTGCACATATATGCATGGTTATTTGTCCACAAGAAAAAACCAAAATTAAAAAACAGCCGATTTTTTCTGATTCTGCCTTCTTCCTGGGCAGACCTACGTTAACTGCAAAGTATCTTTTGTGTGCACAGATTTTCTCGCACTTCTATATTGCAAAGGATAATCAGCAGCTTCCTTTGTAAGAAACTACCAGCTTTTTTTTCGTCACTGAGGTCATCCAGAGGTTTTCAGACCCCAAAGAAACAAGAAAGAGCAAATTATAAAATATATTAGGATCTGTTACTGACAGTTCTGAAATATTTTCCTATTATTAAAGAGCTTTTCTCAGTTTATTCCACTGATGACTAAGCTGAAGAAGAGATCTAGGTCCTACTTTAAGGCTGTACTATTGTTTTACTAAGAAAAGCACTGAGACTCAACTCAGTGCTTTTACCAGGTAACAAAAAACGAGTTAACTAATGGATTTAATCCAAAGCAACTGTTGACAGTTGACAGAAAATTGTGCATGCTTCATAAGGAAGCACAAATCGAATGAGTCCTTATTCAGCTGGGATCATCTATTCTAGTTAAATCATGACAGATCTTAATATATACACTAATTTTCCCTCGGATAGCTTTTGAGTCAATATTGTTTGACCTTTCATTCTCTCAGTAAATGCTGTGCGTCTTTTCAGGGTGTTTGTTCCTTCAGAAGAGCAGTGCAGCACAAGAGCAGGTTACCCAGCGCAGTTGTGGAAACTCAGTCCTTGAAGAAATGGTGAAACCAAGAGCTGACCTGACCGAGCGCTGCGGACGCTCCACGTCAAGCAGGAGGTTGGACTATTTGACTTCCATCCTTTCCAACCAACGTGTCCTACACCCCGTGCCTTTCACCAAATAAGAATGTAAGAGCCGTGGACCATACCACATGCGTTGTCTAGCCTTCCATTTCATTGGAATGGCTTAGAGAAGGCAATCGGAAAATTAACCATTGGATTAAAGAGGAAAAAAAAAAATACACGGGCAAAACTTGGGAAGAGGGTAGAAATAATACAAGCCTCCCCAAGCTTGAAAAGGCAACTGGTAAACTTGATTAATGGGGTCAACTAGAGTACAGACAGTGTTTTGCGTAAGGCAACTCAGAACAGAAATATTAAGGAAGTCCCCCTGAACAAAGAGAACATACATAAAAAGAAGATAGAAAAGCAAATAACTGTCAGAATTATACCAACATTTACTAGTTTGTCAACATGAAAGACACATGCTTGAAGAAGCAGCACAAGCTTCATGGCCTGCTTCTTACAGCCATACAAAATGAAGTTCAAAAGCAGGTTAAGATCATTAGGTATATAAAAATACTAAAGCATTACATGTTCTGATGCCTGGATATAGAGATGACACGGAAAAAAAACCCAACCACCCACAACTTTTTCTTTCTCATTGATTTTTAACTAAGGCAGAGGCCCAGTAAATTATACCTGTAATGAGAAATACAAGGGGAAGGTGATTTATCTTTGATGTGCGTATCACCGACATGGATTTTGTTTGATTCTGCTTATTGAGAATACAAACAAGAAATCCTGGAATGCATTTGATCTTTTATGGTAGTTTAGTGTAAAATTGGAGTATGCTTTGACTCATTAAAGAATTTTGTATTGGTAATACATAAAATGTTGTGAAGAAGTAGTTATTTTAACCAGAGAGCAGTGGAATAAGGTTAAGCAAATAACAGACTGATAATCATTTAGACTTCTGTGATGTAAACCTGATGCACCCATATTTTGTTAAAGCTAACTTTGATCTTTTTTCCAATAACATTTAATTTGTAGTCTGTTTGTCTGAACACATTCATTTAATAGTGATTTCAATACATTTCTTTGTGACTGTTCCAGGGTGAAGCAAAAAAAAAACAAATAAGCTAAAAAAAAAAGAAATAAAATACCTAAAACTTTGGATTTGGGCTTGCGTTCCTGTTTTTTTCTACATGAGCAATGTGAGGAATCCGTAGAAGTAAATCTTGCTGGAGAATGTCAGTGATACCGAACACAGAACCTTCATAGGACATATAAAACCTGATGTTTTCTGCAGCTACTAAGTAGTTACAACACTTAAACGTCCTTTCAAAAGAGAGTAAGTAAAACACAAAACTTTAACAGAGCTCTGGAACATAAACCCAGAAAAGACTTGGGGAAGAAGAGCTACAGAATGTCAGGATAAAGTTGCATGGCACTGCATGAACTGAGCTGAAGACTTGTTGCTGACAGAAGAAGAAATTCCTACTCTACCTTACCTGCCATGAACTGTTTGCATGCCTGAGCACTGCTTTGAACTCGACCAGCAAAAGCCCTTCTAAAAAACCTGTGCTGGTGCAAGGAAAAGGCAATGCCTACGCAGCTGGGAGCAGGCAAAAGACAGCAGAGATCTCTCATCACCTCAGGTGTGGCATACAACTAAACCTCTGCTTAGTTTCATTGTAAAAGGTCTGAATAATAAAGATATTAAGTAAGGTTAAACCTGCTACTGCTCAGCTTTAAAATCCATATGACAATAATAAGTAATAAAGAACTATTCATGCCTAAGGCAAAATGTATAGTAAGGATCATCAAATTTTCAAGACCAAGCAATATTAGATTTGAGAGTACGTTAAGGGCATGCAAATGGCACAACTGACATAAGTGGACTCCACTAATATCAGCAGAAAAAACGATCTCGCGCTTCCAAAAGAACAAGCCCTTGAAGTTTTTGAGTCCGAAAGATTAGCTGAGTCGCTAATTTCCCACACGTTCTGGCAAAACTACAACGAAAACAAAACCAGTAACCACCGCAGATAACCTTACCTGATATAGAGCACTCCACTTTGGTCCACCCGTCGCTGCCAACCAACGGGAACTTGCACTGCTGGTGGCCCTCCATCCGTGTCCCCTCCGTCACACTCCTTTCCACCATTCATTTTTCTGTTTCTGTTTATGAGTCTTCAAAGATATCAACAGTAAGATGATATCCTTTTACTACATGTCATCATGGCCTCCCAAAGAAGGCCATTCAGTACACTTTTCCCCAAATTGTACAAAGTGCATTGGGAGGCTCCAGCTCAGTTTGAAACCAAGTCCTTAAAAGTGGCCATTTTTGTTAATGAGTCAGTTTCCCATTATAATCCACATTAAATATGCAATGTTTAACTCCTTATATATTCATAAGGATGAACTATATAGATAAAAATTAGTGCTTCCAACTTGGGAAAATCATAATTCACCAATCCTTTGTTACCTGTCAGAAAGGAGAATGGGGTAAAGGAGAATTTCTAGTTCAACAGCATGGCTCCAAGCTTGATGACTGTCTAAGATAACTTGTATTTTGTGAAAGCTCGTCTCATTTTTATAAATATGAGTCAGATCTAATACCTCCAGGTATTATACCCTTTATATGCCACATTCTTTTTGTTTTCTTTTTATCTTCCGTTCATTATCCAAGTTGTCTTCTTGAGTTTCTTTCATGACTCCCTGGCTCCAATAAAACAGCCTGAAAAATACAGACACAGAAAACACATGAGCCATTTTCTGAAGTCTCTCAGCCCAGTTCACTACCTCATGAAGATGTATACAGCTGCATCCATTTAAAGAGCTTAGAATCAAAATTTTAAATGTCAATGGAACCATCAAAATAAGGCTTAGGGTAAATATAATCCTGCTAGCATATTCTATTTATATGTGGATGCAACGGAGCTACGTCTTAAAAGCTAAGAGAGTGCAACTGTTATTAAATAGTTAATGTACAGTTTGGGTGCATTAAGGGATGTATCTTTTAACTGAATAGTTTCACATAAGCTTCTATTCAGAATTATCAACAGATGACTAATTAATGCCCTTTAAAAATTGTTTATAAAACTGAATGAATTTAATGTGAAGGAAGCTGCTTCTAGGGTTGATAATATCCATAAAAATGGGAAAACCCTCCATTCAGACTAAATTAAAATAATCCTTTCTTACAAGAAAATTGTAAAATAAAAAGCAAAAACCCAGCATCAATGCACTGATCTCAGAATACCTATGGAACAATTTGAATATCATAAGTAATAATTTCCCCCCATACGGTTATACTGTATGAGAAACCTTTTGTGAAAAAAGTTCAGAATAACTGTGCTATTCTCCCAAAATAATTTTTTAAGTTGACCAGGTGAGACTTAACTCTTGAGATTGGACATTCTATTAAGGTGAGACAAAAATGGAATACGTGATTAAAATAGTAAATATGTCTGGAAAAACAACAATCCTAGAACTCAAATGTAAGATGGCACTGATGACTATTGTAGTAACGATACTAATAGGCTTTATTTGGAATCACATGTCAATTCTGCCTTATTCCTAATACTGATGTTATGCGAATATTTTAAAACATAGTAAATGTTACTATAGACCTGACTGATTTTAATAAGAAAAGGTTTTTTGAGATAGAAATGGAACATAAAGACTTTGGATCCTACAACATTTCTGCAACAACAGTACCAACACATTACATCCATATTTAACAGTAACAACAGCTCCTTCCTTCAAGACCATTAAAGGAAGACTACAAAGGCATAAATATAGTCCTCGAAAATATTCCCTTAAGTACACTTATGCAGTACCTTCTCTTTAGATGTGCTACTTATAAATGTAAAGTTCAAAATGCTACTTAAAGAAAAAAAATAGCCATGGTATTTACAAGAAGGATGTGGACTACAAAGGAGCCGTCTGGACATACCCCCTCGACTGAGGTGCTGAAATCTAAAGAATAGAGTGCGATTTTCAGAATAAAGAGTGCGATTTTCTGCAGGACAAAGCCTTCTAGAATAGCCTGGCACTGTTTTGCAGGGATCTGCTTCAACTTTCCTAAACTCTGGAGCACTCCAATAGGATGTAAGCCTTGGCCAGCCAAAAGTGGGGAAGGGATGAGGAGACTCTGATGAGATCCTGCTTGCTGCCAGCGGAGAGGTGACCGAGTACCTGCTAGCGAAGGTTAGAGTGGATGTCACATCAAGCACCTTGCCGTCTCTCATACGAAAACAATCTACCCTTTAATCTCTAAATCTGCCACGCAGAAATAGGCTTTGGAGAGCACCTGGCAACAGTTCAAGGCTCTCTCAGGTTTTCAGTTTAGAAGTTTTGGGGTTTGATTGGTTTTATCTTGATTAAGAAGGTAGCAGGTGACGTTTCATCAAAACCAAGGCAGAATTTACCTTCAAATTTCAGCATTATGGCTGAATGCCGCATTGGCATTTTTATTACAGGTCCCATGTAAGGCTAAAATAGGTAAATAATTCCCATATTATTTTTAATGACAATTAACTTCCTGTAATACAGTAAAATCAGAATGAGAAAATACATATTTAAAATACTGGAAGCACACAGTGCAGAGAAGGTTGCTGATCTCTTAGCCCAGTCTTGCTGTGGCTCATGTTGCTATTTAGGGCAATAGCACTGGATCCATTACGAGAAAATAATAGCCATCAATTTCTTTTTTGCACAAGCAGCAAGAGACGCTTTGAAGTAACCTTATATTTCTACTGGTTCTGCAATGCTCTGCCTCAGCTAACATCCCATTCCATCACCACCGTAATACTTATCATCATCTAATCAGATAAACCATTTTTCTGTACTGCATATAGCTTGAAATAGTACTAAAAGAGGCAAAAGAATTCACTTAACTGCTTCGTCAGTGGAAAATATTTAAATATTTTTACTCAGTACAGTGAATTGGAGTAAAACGGCTGCTTCAATCATATACCTTCAGTCAAAGTTTATTGTTTGTATGACTTTTTCTTGAGAAATACTAAAGAACTGTAAACTGACACAAGGCCTTGAGTGATGTAAAAAATAAAAATCAATCAGAGCATAGGCACGATGATCCATTTTCTGCTCTACCCCAGGTACAAAAATACTTCAACCACCACACTCACCCTAAGCAGAAAAAAGCAAACAATGCTGTTCACGTCATTGAAGTTTGACCTTTTATCTTGCAATTTATCTTCTCAGTACACAGCTAATCAGTGTGTAACTAGCCATGTTTTATGTGTTTATAGGAAAACGCTCACGGAAGTGAGATTTTTTCACTAAACCCCAGCACAGTTCTGTGCAGATTTCCACAAACTACAGGCAATAAATTACCCAGTACATATTAGAAGCATTGCACGTTTCTGTTGGGCATGAATGGCAAAAGTAAGAGGTTGCCATCAATATTTTTTGTACAGAAATCCTTCACTAAACTGCACTGCAGAGTTCATATGTGTTATTTATTTAACTGCGTAACACCATAGGAAAGTTAAGCATAGTACAGGTCTCTCAAGACGAGTTAAGCCTCTCAAATCTGGTTCAATAAAGGACACCCGTTGCATTTTCCCAATAACCCGTTATCAGCCAAAAAGAGAAAATGGAGCTAAGGAAGACAGCAGAGAAAGAGGATAAGAGTCACTTAAACCAGGCTGGGTCTGGCTCTTTTTCAGCCTACCACCGGCATAGGCTGGTTTTATAATACATTTTACACAATAAGGCAGCCTAGGTGAGAAGATGCAAGTTTAAGGGGACAACTGGAGGGGACAGTGGCACCGCTCGATTGGGTTCGGCAAACTGTTCTGTGATTGAAAAAAGACATTTAAATCCCAATTTAAATTTCAATTAAAACCAGCCTGACCGTGAATGCTCTGACATACAGAGCATCCATTTGACTTCTCAAACCTTTACATTTCTCACCAGTTCAGAGTTTTTCAACTCGATGGCAGAAAAATCCCGTCCCTTTTGATGTACCATTTTCCCCTTCCCCATCAAAGTATTCTAACTGAAGTACTTTGGATTGGGTTAGAAAGTATTTGGATTTTGGACCAAATCCAAAGTATTTTGGACACTGGATTCTATCCAAAGGCCTGATTTTCATCAACCCATGTAATAAATACCTCTTCTCTGTAATCTCATAACAACTCCAGACAACTCATGTTATCTCACCACGAGTAACACAACTTTCCACATCTAAATCAATTACTTCTTTTTTCTGTGCGCCAAGACATGCTGTTTAGATTTGTTTTGCAGTCCAGTTTCATTACAATATGCTTAAAAATATTTCATTGGGGAACTATGCAAAACCCACCACCACCCCCCCCCGGAAAATTTCTCCTTAATTTTCATACACTGAAAGTATGTTTTCAATTTTTAATGCAACTGTCTCACTTTTTGAAATGTTGCATTTTAAGAAGCCTCTTTGCACACTCAGCTGTTAATGTTTAACAATTTTTTAGTCCACTGGTGAAATAGAAAACTTGGTACAAAGTAAAAAAGAAACTTAGATACTAATAGTCTGGATTCAGATCTATCACATACGATATGAATACCAATATAACATTTCTTTTATTAATAAATGGACGTAAAGCCAGCTAAGACAAATTTTGACAGCCTAATATTGCAAAGATGCTCCATTGCTTTTTTCTTGACATGAACTTTTAAGCGTGCCTAACAATTCTGTGTGCCACAGAGAAAGGCTCCTTGGAGGTCTATGATCAGCCACTGCCTCTCTGATGCACAAAACCCAGTGCTTACTTATGGAAGGATCAGATTTTGGTTTGTTTTGCAAACACTTAAAACGTACACAAAATACTGCTCATAGATACAAATTGCAATCTCCCTTCCCCGGCTTCCCTTTCTATCACAGAAAAACCTACAAAATACATTCAGAAAAAGAAATGCATTTGAATCATGGTCCTTGGGTGTTAGAACTAACAGGAAGTTTTAGCTTCTTAAAAAGCATTATTTTCAAACCACGCAGAGTTGAAATGAGTTTTTATTTAGTTATCGCTTGCACATTATTAATCTGTTTAAGTCTATCAAAGCAATTAGTTAGGATTCTCCTGTATCATCTAATTAGATACAAATGTTGCATCACTTTTTGGAATGCTTTTCCAATTTGAAAAGGAGCGTTCTCTTGACT